GATCCATGCGAATCGTAAAATGTCTACCTTCTAGTAAATGTCTAAAATGTTTGATAGCTAAATGCACGGCTAGTAACTCCCTGTCGTAAGTAGTGTAGTTTTTTTGTGCTGACTGGAGCTTCGTTGAGGAAAATGCAACTGGATGCCAAACATCGCCTTCATACTGTTCTAGTACCGTAGCGACTATACTGCTAGATGCTTTTGACGTCAATCGAATTATTCTTGACGGTAAAAGAACTGCTTATTTAGATAAAGCAGTTACGCTTTTTTACTGCTTTTGAATGCCGTCTCTAAAATAGGGGTCCATGTTATTGATGTTTTGTCATTCTTTGTTAAATTTTGTAGTAGATTACTTAACGGAGCAATTTAGATGCTTGAGGAATGCATTTGCGGTAATAATCAAGAATTCCTAAAAAACGACAAATTCGTTGAAACTAATTTTTGTTTTGGTGAATATATCAACAAATGTCAACAATTGTATTATCTGGGGCAATGAAAATTTAAAAAACTATTGAAAGTCCACTGCATCCAAAAAAATCACTGAGTCGTGGTCTCATTCGGTCTTGGTATAATATAGGGTGGTTCACTTTTGAAAAAGATAAGGATATGACAGAAACCGTCATTTATATGCGAAGAACATTCCTGATATGTAATTTAACATTCTCGCGAAATGAATTGGCCATCTTGACTATATGGCTTGCAGCCACTAGATTTTTTTCTGTAAGCTCAAAGTGTCATGTTAATACGGCCAATCTCCAAACTATTGAAACTGTTGGAAACGGATATCCGTTATGTTATAGTCGAGGTATTACTAGCTATGTGCCGACAAGTTGGGGAATATTACGCTAAACAGGTTTACTATTGTAAGATGTGCTGTAGATGACATTTGTGAATTGTGTTGTATATCACACTCAATAGCAAGATCGAAATTATACGTGAAGTTTTTTTCTGTCACACTTATATTAATAATATTTATTAAAGATTTTTGGATAAGGGATAGACATATTTATGTATATAAAAGTTTAATTCCGCTGTGATTTCTTTTACTGTGCAATAAAAACTGAAGAAATTTATTTCCTTAAGGTTGTATTTTAGCGTTTTTAAAATGTAGTTATTTTGTTAGTATTTGAGCCCAACTAAATGTTTTATTATAACGTTAACCCAGAAAATGTATTCAACTTCTGCCAAAGGATAGTGTCACAACTTTGCACATAAATCTTTTCATCCCTAAGCGTTTGTACTTTGCTGCGAATAAGTGTTAGTACTCTCCACTAATCCCATGACATGTAATCAATCGATAAAATTTTTTCTGAACCTCGCTTTTTCCTTTGACACGTACACGTATTTAAGTGTAAATATTTATGGATTTTCTTCTTTACTCACAAGAGCTCGATAAAGTAACAACATTCTAAATATACAAAAACAGAATTCTGCTTAAAATAAAAGGACTTCCAGCAGCCAAAAGGCTTCTCCGGTGCAGTTCGCAATTTAGGCGAGAAAACCGAAAATAAATTGATGAAAATCAATGGCAATCAAGATAGCTGGGTTGGCAGTCAATGACAGTTTCTCAATGAAAACTTTGTTTTATGTTTTCTTCCTTTCGCTGTTTACTCATGTGGAAAACGTCTTCGGATGGACTGAGTTCAATCCGGCTAAATAGAAAATGGAACAAAAAGCGTGAAGACGAAAGTGAAGAAAAAAATACAAATTTTCGGTGCTGAAAAGGTTTTCAACTTCTGTACTCAAGATATTCGTAAAATAAACGTATTAACATTTAAATAAGCGAAAACCTAAAGTTTTCCATAATAAGAAAATAAAATTGAGATTTATTTACAGCGTTTCTGAAATGAGATATATAAAAAGAAGCACAGCTATGTCTTCGTCCTTTACGGCATTAAAGCGAGTGAGGCGCTATGGAGTGAGTGTGGTATTAGATGAATGAAAAGTTAGGTCGATGGGTAGGATTTTTGCATAAAGTTTAAATGAAAAGCATAAATTATGTTTTGCGCCAGTCAAAGGATGGCATGTGGAAATGTGATTCACGTTGACGTGGAATTCAAAAACAGTGACTTTCTAATCAAAATGAACAGGATTGCGTACAAAACGGAGAATGCCTTCAGTTTCAATGCAACGAAACCATGAAATATCCGTAAATGAGAATAGAGAAGAAACACTTTTATGTACAAGTGTTTTACATTTTTTAATGCAAATTGGCTGAGTTACTGAAGTACACTGAAATGGTTCAGTCTCATCAGTGATATTGTTTATTAGCTAATTTGGAATGAAAAAGAGGAAAAATGCAAATAATAATTTGCTTACGGAATATATTAAACTCCAAATTTAAATGCGATATTCGAAGAGATTTCAAGCTAGTGTTTTTGTAAAAGGCATTTCAGGATTTGCATAATAAGAAAAGGAAATGGATCAATTCATATTATTAATTAGCTGCTTTTTCATAAGCTTCTTGCAGACAACCAAATTGACTTATTTTATAAAATATTCGATAAATAAATAGATAATTTTAAAGATAAGACGTTCAAATTACTTTTATTAAATTTACAGCAATACTACTACTACTATTTTCTACTTCCCCCAGTCTGACATAGCGCCTCCATTTACGGCAATATTTCTTTTTATTTTAATGCAATTTCCCAACTGAATCCCGACATCTTCAGTCCCTCCAGATGGTGTATTAAGTGAAAGGAACTTATTGACCACAATACAACATTTATTTTAATGGTAGAATTTTTGTTTTTCCAAAACAACAATACCCATATTTACCTTTAATTTATATTAAATTGGACTGTTATCCAATTTGGTTATATTAAATATAATCCAGTCGAATAAGTATTTAACCTTGGAATTAAATTAAACAACCTGCGAATATTAGTGCATTTATTAATTTAATAACCAAATTTATACCAAATTCATTCATTGCGACAACACGGATTTTTCGGTTTGTTATAATTTTTGTTGGAGTATCCTCAGCTTTTGTCCACAGTCGCTGCAATAAATTTTTATTCGCGGGGACAGGACATCTCAGAAAAGAGATGATGTGTTCAATTTTAAAACAAGAAAGTTTATTAAATATAATATTATTTTATGCATTTAGCAATAGTATTTTAAATGTTGTCACTAATTAAATAAAAATAAGTGACAATAAAACCTGGAACTTGAGCATTGAAAGTTTGTGCAGCCTTGGTTTCTTGTGGATAAACACGATTAGTCATCGCTTCTAATTTGACAGGCACGAGTTCTAAGCCTGGCACTTGCAGTCCAAACAAAATTATATACGGACTATAAACTAATTAAATAAAAATTCGATTATTCCCAAAGACCACTGATGAAGAGTACTTGGCAATACTCGAAACGGCGTTGTATGGTCAGCCAAATTTCAATAAAATTAAAAATAAATTTTTGTGTTTGTCCTTTATTTCTTTCTTTGTTATTCGAAAACCCTTCTAAGATTAATTACATGTAATTAGATATGGATGTGAGATTTCATAGATAGCTTTGGTGAAGTCGCTGATGATGCTAGTTGGTTGGTTCATTGAAATTAACGGCGTTGGTCTTATAATTTTCTAATGTTGCTCTTGTAGTCGACCGGCTCAGAGTAAGAATTAGCAAAATCATATTTTTTTATTTATTGAATTTATATATATATTTATCGTGTACTTAATAAATTATTATATTTTTATTTAAATAAACTTTCGGAGATAAATAAAGAAGGTATGTATTTATTATTTTATTAAAATATATTTCTCTATTTATTATAAATTTATTTTCTCCTTATGGGTTTTGGTAAGTTACTCCTTTAAAATTAGCCAATTTTTATTTCAGATATCTCCAACAATTATTATTAGCAATTACGCAGATAGAAGTAGTACTGTGTTATTGAGTAAGTAAGTTGTAGGTTAGAAATTAGCACAAATTTCCATCCTTACAATATTTATAGACTTTTAAACGGACTAACTAGTTAAATATTATATAATATACAATTTTTTAAATTAAGTTTTCAATATATATTTTATTTACACCAATATAACTATTGTAGTCTATAGTCATATTCAGGATACTGATATAATACAAACAGTTATAATATATCAACGAATTCAATTCATGGAGCAATGAAATCATTTCACAATACAATACAATCAAGCGGTAAATATATACATTTATATATATACATTTATACAATAATTATATATTTATCCCAATCGTGATTTATTGAAATTGTTTTCATACACTTGACCACTCCTTTGTATAGTTCCCCATTAGCATTATTCTGAGTACGCCACTGTACGTGAGTCAACTTATAGTTTAAATAAAAATTGTGACCTAAAGAACGTTTAGAATTGAAGAGAACTCTTATTCTGTTACTTCTCTCTCTCTAATATTAATAGTAAGCATTTAGTTTACTAACTCCTTCGTTTGTCGCCTTCTAACTCTTTTAGTGGTACTCGTATATCCGAAAGTGTGTAAAATTTTTTTCTTACCTTTGATCAGTCTGGTGCCCATGGTGTAAATATATATTATATTAGAATAAATAGTAACAAAGGTTTTCTCATTACTATAATACTTTCATTAGATGTAAATCGTAGTGTATGTAGTATTTAATAGTTGATATAATATTTTTGTTATAACGTCAACCTCAACCTTCCCGCGGTGTTCCCTGTTTTCACTAATGAGGCTCTGGCGACCGAGTGTTCGGCGGGATATCTGAACTCTTCCATCTGCTGTCTAGAGGAAATGCTAGCTGCACATTTACATCATGGCAGGATCGGAGGCCAAATGGTGATTGACGAAATTAAAGAAAGGTAGCAGCCCTACCACCGATCTTGGCAGCTATGGGTTAATCACTCGTGGCGGCTGAAAAACATTAGATTCAAGTATTCACAAGAAATAGAAACCGGCCTGACCAAAACGATACCGACTTAAGGAATGTGAAAAGGACAAGATTTGGACAATGGAACGTGCGAACTCTGTTTCAAGCAGGAAAAATGGCTACGTTAGCCGCTGAATGCGATAGGTTTAAAATAGACGTAATTGGCATTAGCGAAGTCAGATGGAATGGTACAGGTGAATTCACAAACCAAAAGGGAGGTGTACTTATGTACTCCGGCATGCCCGACGAACAAGACCCTCACATCCGAGGCGTTGCAGTTTACGTAAAAAAAAATGTTAAGCACTCAATCTTATGCTGGAAAGCTATATCCGAAAGAATAATAGTAGTACGTTTTCGCGCAAAGAAATTCAATATGTCTCTAGTACAATGCTATGCTCCAACAGAAGATAGTCCACTTGACCAAAAAGAAGTTTTTTACAGTGCGCTAGAAAGAACGCTCTCTGAAATTCCTAGAACCGATGTAATTATTCTTATGGGCGATTTCAATGCCCAAATTGGCGGAAATAACTCAGAGTATCGATCTGTAATGGGTTCTCATGGTATTGGAACATGTAACGAGAATGGGGAGCTGTTTTTGGAACTTTGTATGAATTATGATCTCAGGATTGGAGGATCCCTATTTCCTCATAAAACGTGTCACAAGGTCACTTGGAAGTCCCCCGCTGGCAACTTCGAAAGTCAAATTGATCATATCTGCATTTCAAAACGATGGAGTAAAGCTTTATGTGATGTCAGAAACAAAAGAAGCGCTGATATCGACAGTGACCACTATTTAGTGGTGGCCGAACTGAAATTTAATATACCTAAACATAGGTATGAACACCCGCAGCATACACGGCGCACGTATAATACCACAAAGCTTAATGTTGGAGCGGTAAAGAATGAAATGATCGAACGTATTAACAACGTCAGTTAGATGGAGGATGCTTCTATTGAGGAAACGTGGCTTCATATTAAAACAAATCTCGAAGAGATCTGCAAGGACACACTAAGCTACCGTAAAAACGAGCAAAAGGAATGGTTGTCGGCAAACTCTTGGGAGCTCATTGCTCAAAGAAGGTGCGTTAAAACGAAAATGTTAAGCGAGGCAGATCCGTTTAAAAAAGCCGAATACAACATAACGTACAGAAGCCGCAGTAGGCAGATCAAGAAAGCAGTCAAAAGCGACAAGAGAAACTATTACGTTGAACTAAGCATGAAAGCGCAAGCAGCATCAGAAAAGGGCGACATGAAGGAGCTGTTTAAGTTAACTAAACAACTAGGTGGAAAATCTTTCCAAAGCAGCGCTCCAATTGAAAATGAAAACGGACAGCTGGTGTTTGCTAAGAACGAGCAGGCAGAAGTATGGAAAAGACATTTTGAGAAATCCCTAAATATCATACACAACGAAAGTGGCGAGCTCACAATACGAAGACATCTAAATCCTAACAGACAAATAGATACAAGGGCACCTAGCGTTAACGAAATAAGAGGTGTAATCATTAGCATGAAAAGTGGTAAAGCACCAGGTAATGATTGTTTACCAATAGAGTGTTTTAAGGCAGACCCCAATGCTGTGTCCAAACTTTTGCTCCCCTTGTTTGAGAAAATCTGGGAACTAGAGTCATTCCCTCTCGAATGGAAGGAGTCTATCATCGTCAAACTGCCGAAAAAAAGACAAATAGAAAGAAATGCAGCAACTGGAGGGGAATTTCTTTAATACCAGCAGTTTTCCAAATTTTCAACAAAATAATATTAGAAAGAATCGCCGTAACATTAAACGAGCTTATTCATAAAACTCAAGCAGGTTTTCGCCCTGGGCACTCGTGCATCGACCAAATTAACACGATTAGAATACTTATTGAACAAGCCTCAGAATGGAATGCAACTTTGTATTTAACATTTATTGATTTTGAAAAGGCTTTCGACGCGCTTAAGAGAAGTTACATATGGATGGCGTTAAACGCTAAAGGTATCCCTAATAAGATCATTAATATTCTCAAGAAGAGCTACGAAGGGGCCACGAGTAGAGTTTTACATGAAGGTACTCTTAGCGACAGCTTTAATTGCAACAGTGGAGTGCGACAGGGTTGCGCCCTTTCACCGTTACTGTTTATCACAGTCCTAGACGTCGTTTTAGAAGCTGTAGAAGAAAGCCCAATCGGCAATGGTTGGAAGCTGAATCAAAAGCTTGGTCATCTTGAATATGCAGACGATGTAGTATTGTTAACAAACTGACACACTGATATGCAAACTCTTGTTAATAACGTATGTGAGCAGTCATATAAAAATTAACGCCTCAAAGACAAAAACAATGAGAACAAAAGCAAGCAATCAATCGCCCATCCTTCTGTACGATCAAAACATTGAAGACGTGCAGGAACTCGAATACCTGGGGAGTATAGTCAACAGCGAGGGTGGCACGTCAAAGGACATCGGCAGTAGAGTGAAAAAGGCAAATGGCTCTTTCGCATCGCTTAACAAAATCTGGAAAGCCAACAATGTAAGCGTCGAAACTAAAACCAGAATATTCAACGCCTGCGTCAAATCGACATTATTATATGGGTGCGAAACATGGTCGCTTACGAGGGCCTCGACTCAGAAGATACAATCCTTTGTAAATAGAAGCCTGCGGCGTATTCTGAACATATGGTGGCCTGCAAGAGTCTCCAACGAAGTGCTATGGCAGCGTACCAAACAAAAGCCAATAGAGAAAGAAATTTTGAGACGCAAATATGGCTGGCTCGGCCACACACTTAGAAAACCGACAGATGCAATTGCCCACGCAGTCATGGAATGGAACCCGCAAGGAGTAAGGAGACGAGGTCGTCCCAAAACCACCTGGCGAAGAACAGTGGCAGCAGAAACAAGCAAATCCTTTAACCAGTTACGTTTTACTGCCAGAAACAGAGAGGAATGGAAGAAGTTTATAAATATTATTTGTGAATAGACTAAGTTCTAATTTTTAAATTTTTAATTTAATTTTTATAATGAAGAACATGTCTTAATAATAAATAAATAATATTTTTGTTATCAGGTGTATCGCTTCATTCTCTATCTCTGTCTCATTTAAGAAAATTTTTTAGATCAAATTTATAACAAATATTATATTCAAATCATTTCATTAATTTCAAGTAACTCTTCAAACTTAAACTTATTAAATTCCCCAGCTATTACGTCAATTATTTTAAGGTTATCAATCACATATATACCATTTTTATCTTAAATGACACTTCCTTTCTAGCTGACATAGCCTTTATATTCTTAAAAACTCTCTTATATAGCCATTGTTTTGATTTATTTTCATTTTGTTAATATTTATGCATTTGCTCAAAAGTTTAAACTTGTGTTCTCAAATCCTTGGGATAAAGCCAACTTCTCAATAACAGATGCGAATATCCTGCACATGTATTTTGTTAATACCATTTATCATCATAAATCCTTAATTAACTATTATATTATAAGTAATAAATTTTTATTACAAATATTAATTTCATAAAGAGTGCTGAAAGAACACCCAATCCCCAATCATTTTTGTACTTATATATTGAAACTAAAAAATTTTTTTAAAACTAAATTTACTATTTATTCATGTACTTTTTAATTTAAGAGTCATCAATTTTTTGTTGTGTTTAACATACGGATTCATAGAGTATCCGCTATAGAGCATCATATCTGTGTACTTTTTCCTTTATCCGAAGCCGTGTGGACTCACACAAGTTAATCGACCTGAAATGCAAATATATAAATTATTTTCAATAGAATAATAAGCAAAGCATTATTGCAGAGTAACCAGATTTATTCAGACAAAAATATTGCGGTTTAAAATACAATCAAACGCTGAAGACAAGAAACTGTTTTTTGCAAGTAGGCATCCAACAATATCCATTTTGAGAATGGGAAGAAATACGACTTCAGACCTATAGCTGAAACGTAAAACTGATATGATTCGAAGTCATCAAAGGGTATTCACAGGCTGATCTATGATCTATGTAATTCTACATTTCTAAAAGTAATACTAATAGCAAACTACTGGAATGACCCATGTTTAATTATTTCTCTATAATATTTTAAAACTAAACTGCAAAAGCAAAGTAATATCTAGAAAAACGTGATATATTAAAGTTATAATTTAAGTAAAAGTTGTTCTTTTATTTAAATTTTGCTTCTTAGAATATTTTTTCAAATAATGCAAATTTCAAATAAAGTTTTAATTTTTTCCAACACTTCATAGCATTAAAAATCAACTGATGCTGAAAAAATTATTAAACCTGATGTTCTTAAAAATAAATACGAAAAGAGCCAAACTGACGAATATTTATTGAATGGTAGTTTACATTGCAACTGAACAAATAAAGGTCATCTGTTACCCCAATAACAGACTGAACAAACACTACTTCTAATAATCACTTCAGCCTTCACGATGTAAAATCATTAGTAATAATAATTATCTCCTTTTTCTTCACACGATATTCCATACTGTAGGTATCTAGTAGTCCAAAATGTGCCACAACATATAAAGAACAAAACAATAAGTCAATTTCAAGACACCTAGAGAGTGGAAAATAATTTTACTTTAGTCGATCTTAACAAAATAGGAATAATAGGATATTACAAATAGTATCTTCTGGACAAGATTAGAAATCGACTAACAGCATAGCTGTTCTAAGTACCCTGATGGGTCGAAAGAATTGCTGATTGGTGAAAGAATTCCTTATTACTTCAGAATAAAGATGAGAGGGCTGTACGAGTAGTACTGAAATTAATTATGCGTTTAAATTAATTTAAGATCAAATTACTAATACTAGAAAACTAAAACTCACCTTTTCCATCTCCCTACGAAATTCATCAATTGAAGTTGTTTTGAGTATTGAATTCTTGGAAAAATTATCTAAGCAGGTTCGAAAGGAATCCCGGACTAAATCAGTTAATGTGTTTATTATATTATTGATAGATGGCTTGCCAATCACTTCTCCATTTTCAATATCCGTAGTTGTTATTGCCTGATAATTAACATACTGAAAGAACTTATTTTTACTTTCCACTACAGTTTCATCAACCATACACTGAAATGTTACGTTCTCTTTAGAAGCAGATGCTTCAACGTAACTGTACTTAACAACAGCGGTTGGACGCTCCTTAGTTACGACAACTTTGTCTTCACCCGAACTTTCATCATCTGAATTTATCGCTAAAGTAAGTTCAATTTCTGATAGAACCTGTTTGAAAACTTTTCGGGATTCTTTTTTCATCCTCTGTGAGTGGACTTCAAAAGGGGAACACTTTTTCTTCTTTCCCTTACAATTGACTTCCATAAGCGCACGCTTAGCTTTCGTTTCCTTCCATGATATGCAGATTTCATCATAAAACATCAAAATGTAAGCGACAAAACAGAAGCATAGGGGTACAAGTATGCATATTAGTGCAGTAAACATATATGGCGGTTCCCTTTGGAGTAAGGCGTTGTTGACATGATAACGCAGGAATTTTCTTAGCAAAACCATGATGTTGAGGTAAAGTTATGTACAATGTGCAATGTGCGACTACAATATATTTATAAGACATGTTATAATTGTAAACTACAATGATATTTCAAGAAAATCTGAGATTATCAGGTCCCAACTAAGTCTATTGTTTTTCAAAATTTTTATCAATTGTTGATAAGAAAAATTAAATAGTTATCGCAGTATATGTTTACCTTAAGCTATATACAATTGCGACTGAATCATTGTAAATATATATTTTGTACAATTGATGATAGTCAATCCCCATTTTTTTCACATATTGCATGATCTTTAGGAAGTAATTCATACTGCACCCTAATAAACGTCTTATATGGTAAATGTTTTATATATAAATGATGCAAGTTTCGATAAATGAAGGAATCTAAGTTTAATTTAGAGATATACAAAATAAGTCACAAATCACAAGAAAATCTTTGCCGAAACTCGTGAAATTAAAAATGTGAACTTATTTCGTTAAGCTATATCACAAGTCAAACTATTCATTAATTAAAAAAACTTAAAAAAACTATTCCGCTTGAGATTCTAGAGATCATAGAAATGTATTCTAATCGGATTGATAAATTGTTTAAACTTCGAGTTGCCTTTATTAACGGTATGGGTTGAAGGATTACAAGCTTCTCTAGATTTTAAAAAAGAAGAGAGTGTCATCGCAACATGCGACATGGTCACCTATCCAAAATTTGGTAATACTTACTGATATGTCATTTATATAGCTAGCAAGAATTATAATTCATTATATATTTGATACGAAGTTTGTGTTTAAAAAAAATTCAGTACCTACCACAATAGAAGTGCTGCCTTTAGTGTCTGTCTAAGAAACCACGTTTCCAGTGCAAAATATATTTAAGTTTTAATTTAATTTATTGTGTTTTTACCTCGATTAGGAAAAATGCAAGTTAGTTGAAGGAAAAGTTCTTTAAAAACCTTGTTAGCTATCGAAATATACGGTCCGACAATGTTTCTTTTGTTAAATTTGGGTGCTAAAAAAATAATATTCTGAAAGAAAATTTTTTTTCAAAATTAAAAAAATAAGAAAAAATAGATTTTAGAACAAAAATTTATGTTTACTCTTCTCAAGAATTTACAAAGAAGCGCTGTCAAAATTTTTGGAAAAAAATTAATAAAAACATATTTAAAAATTGCCAAAAATAGAATAGAAAAACATCTTAGGCTTATCTAGTCTTTTGCCAAAGATAATAATTTTGAAACAAAACTATTTGAGCAGTTTTTAGCGGTTCAGGGTTGGTTTATAACCAGAGCTGTGCAATAATGATTACATTTGTAATTAGATTACACTCAATTATAAATTACTGAGTAATTTAATTGATAATTGAATTTCCAGATTATATGTGTAATTTAATTGAAAACCTCAATTACGAATTACAGTATAATCTTAATTTGTAATTTAGTTTCTGAATTACAGTCATAATTGAAATTGAAAAACCAAATTTCAAATTACGTGTAATTTGCAAAAATAATCTAGAGAAGAAGAAGCATTGAAACTTTTGAAAGATGATAAACGAATCGAAACTATGGTTGGATTTTGGGTTGTAAGTGGCCCGCATTTTATTTGCGCCTTCATTCATAGTATTTTGTTGGGTTGCTTGTTTTTGTTTTTTACATTTGGTGTGTAGAAGTGTTCCATTAGAACTTCAAAGCAGATCAAGAGGCAGAAAAATTTTTTCTTTTGTACGCAAATCGAAATCTGAATATGTTGCATTGTTGCTTTTTTTCATGAAGTTGTCAATTTAATATTGCTGTTTTTTTTTTTGTATTTCTGTCTTGTGCAGTGATCGAAAATATGTATTTAGAAATGTGTATACTTGTTTCATTTGTTCGGTTGCGTGTGTACTTTTCTATGCTTTTGCTCTATGATATTTGTTTGTTTTGCTTGTATGTTTTTTTTGTTTTGGATTGCAGTTTTTTTTTATGAAATTTAGGAAGGTGTCTATTTCGCATGATTTTATTATTTCTTTTGTTTTAAGCGCTGATATGCATGTGTGTCAGAATGTGTATATGTTTTGTTGTTTTTTTTTGTTTAATTGATTGAACATTTGACTATGAGTTGCGCGTAAATTTTTTAAAGCAAATTTGAAAAGATCGTTGTTTTTGTGCATCAAATAAATATATGCAAATTTGTAAGCAGTATATGTATGTGTGTACAATGTGTATGCAAATAATATAATTTTATCTGTAATGAGATTATGCCTACATTTATGTTTTAAGAATTATTTTTATTGCTAAATACGATTTAGAAATTATTATAACAAAAATGAGTAAAAATATGTAGTTTAAGAATAAAATTTTTGGACAAAGTCTTATGCTGAATGTATATTTGGTTTTGTATGTGCAATAATTTTTTATTGAATATTTATTAAATGGTTAATTGCGTACAATGTTTAATTTTTCCCTGTTATATACGTACAGAGCTGTGCAAAATCAATTAAATTACAAATTAAATTACAATTACAGAGTAATTATAATTGATAATTGAATTTCCAGATTATATGTGTAATTTAATTGAAAACCTCAATTACGAATTACAGTATAATCTTAATTTGTAATTTAGTTTCTGAATTACAGTCACAATTGAAATTGAAAATCCAAATTTCAAATTACGTGTAATTTGCAAAAATAATCTAGAGAAGAAGAAACGAAACGAACCGAAACTATGGTTGGATTTTGGGTTGTAAGTGGCCCGCATTTTGTTTGCGCCTTCATTCATAGTCTCTTGTTGGGTTGCTTGTTTTTGTTTTTTACATTTGGTGTGTAGAAGTGTTCCATTAGAACTTCAAAGCAGATCAAGAGGCAGAAAAATTTTTTCTTTTGTACGCAAATCGAAATCTGAATATGTTGCATTGTTGCTTTTTTTCATGAAGTTGTCAATTTAATATTGCTGTTTTTTTTTTCTATTTCTGTCTTGTGCAGTGATCGAAAATATGTATTTAGAAATGTGTATACTTGTTTCATTTGTTCGGTTGCGTGTGTACTTTTCTATGCTTTTGCTCTATGATATTTGTTTGTTTTGCTTGTATGTTTTTTTTGTTTTGGATTGTAGTTTTTTTTTATGAAATTTAGGAAGGTGTCTATTTCGCATGTTTTTATTATTTCTTTTGTTTTAAGCGCTGATATGCATGTGTGTCAGTCAGCAAGTTTGAAAAGATCGTTGTTTTTGTGCATCAAATAAATATATGCAAATTTGTAAGCAGTATATGTATGTGTGTACAATGTGTATGCAAATAATATAATTTTATCTGTAATGAGATTATGCCTACATTTATGTTTTAAGAATTATTTTTATTGCTAAATACGATTTAGAAATTATAATAACAAAAATGAGTAAAAATATGTAGTTTAAGAATAAAATTTTTGGACAAAGTCTTATGCTGGATGTATATTTGGTTTTGTATGTGCAATAATTTTTTATTGAATATTTATTAAATGGTTAATTGCGTACAATGTTTAATTTTTCCCTGTTATATACGTATATGTGTATTTTTATATTTCTGAATATAATCAATAATTTTAATAACTAATTTTTTTTAATATCGTCTAGTGATAATATGTACGTATGTATATATAAAATTTTTAAAATTATATATTTTAAAAATATTTTGTAGCAATGTGATAACAATACCAAATATACTTTAAAAATTTATATTTCAATTTAATATGAATGCACTTGGTACAAATATTTTCAGAAAAAAATCAGTAGTAATAAGCGTGCATTTAAGGGTTTTGCCCAGTTTTATTTTTTTGTTTTTTGTTTTAAGCGAATGTGTGTACTTTTCTTCTTTTTTTTTGGTTTGACTGATTTCACATTTGCTTATGCGTACCGCCTGAATTTTTCTAAGCAAATTTGGGAAGATCGTTGTTTTTGTAAGCAGTATATGTGTGTACAACGTGTATGCAAATATAAGTACAAGTTTATCTTTATGCCTACATTTGTTTTTGTAAGCGATAATGTGCATATTGATACGTTTTGTTGATTGTCTAGTTGATTAAGAATAAAGAAAAGAAAAAATTTAACTTACGCGCTTTGGTTTTATAATTTAAGACAGATTAAAAGTGTTTGTAAATTAGTTCAAGAAAATCTTTATTGAAAAATTTATTTAAATAATATATATAAAAAAGATATAAAATTTAATTATATATTGTTGTATATCTTATACTTTCAGTTTGCGTATTTTTAAATGAATTATTAGAAAAATTTATTTATGGAATATCTTTAATTTTGTATATCATATTTAAGAATACATACATATGTATATGACAACAACAACGCTTATTTATTAAATGTATATATTTATTAAATTAAAATTTAAGTTAATGATCTTGCCAAATTTGCTAAAAAAAATGCACACGCTTCGCATTAGCAAATGTAGAATCGTCAAACCAAAAAAGAAACAACAAAATGTTTACACATTCGCTTAAAACAAAAAACAAAAAAATAAAATTGCGCAAAACCACCCTTAAATGCATGCTCATTACTCAGCTTTCTATGATAAATTTTTTCTCAAATATTTGCAACAAATAAATTCAAACTAAATTGAAATTCAAATTTTTAAAGTATATTTGGTATAGTTGTCACATTGCTACAAAATATTAAAATACATAATTTTAAAAATTTTATATATACATGCATATTATCACTAGACGATATTAAAAAAAATTAGTTATTAAAATTATTGATTATATTCAAAAATATAAAAATACACATATACGTATATAACAGGGAAAAATTAAACATTGTACGCAATTAACCATTTAATAAATATTCAATAAAAAATTATTGCACATACAAAACCAAATATACATTCAGCATAAGACTTTGTCCAAAAATTTTATTCTTAAACTACATATTTTTACTCATTTTTGTTATAATAATTTCTAAATCGTATTTAGCAATAAAAATAATTCTTAAAACATAAATGTAGGCATAATCTCATTACAGATAAAATTATATTATTTGCATACACATTGTACACACATACATATACTGCTTACAAATTTGCATATATTTATTTGATGCACAAAAACAACGATCTTTTCAAATTTGCTTTAAAAAATTTACGCGCAACTCATAGTCAAATGTTCAATCAATTAAACAAAAAAAAACAACAAAATGTATACACATTCTGACACACATGCATATCAGCGCTTAAAACAAAAAAAAAATCATGCGAAGTAGACACCTTCCTAAATTTCATAAAAAAAAACTACAATCCAAAACAAAAAAAACATACAAGCAAAACAAACAAATATCATAGAGCAAAAGCATAGAAAAGTACACACGCAACCGAACAAATGAAACAAGTATACACATTTCTAAATACATATTTTCGATCACTGCACAAGACAGAAATAGAAAAAAAAAACAGCAATATTAAATTGACAACTTCATGAAAAAAAGCAACAATGCAACATATTCAGATTTCGATTTGCGTACAAAAGAAAAAATTTTTCTGCCTCTTGATCTGCTTTGAAGTTCTAATGGAACACTTCTACACACCAAATGTAAAAAACAAAAACAAGCAACCCAACAAAATACTATGAATGAAGGCGCAAACAAAATGTGGGCCACTTACAACCCAAAATCCAACCATAGTTTCGATTCGTTTATCATCTTTCAAAAGTTTCAATGCTTCTTCTTCTCTAGATTACTTGAGCAAATTACACGTAATTTGAAATTTGGTTTTTCAATTTCAATTATGACTGTAATTCAGAAACTAAATTACAAATTAAGATTATACTGTAATTCGTAATTGAGGTTTTCAATTAAATTACACATATAATCTGGAAATTCAATTATCAATTATAATTACTCTGTAATTGTAATTTAATTTGTAATTTAATTGATTTTGCACAGCTCTGTTTATAACCAACCCAGGGTCTACGTCAAACAAGCTGGTATGTGTTTTTTTATCCCGGCGGACTACAACAACAACAACCACTTTTTGGCTTTGACAGTAATTGAAATATTAATAATAGTATTGCAATATCGTATATCGCAGGTATATATTATATTCAATTTCGATTTGAGATATAAAAGATAAGATTATCTAAACTGTTAGTGAATTATTTATGAATAAGTGAGACAGATAACTATAATTAATTTGGATTAAGTTTTTTTATAATAATTTTGATTATTTAATTACTTGCAATTAAATGAGATATACTTACCCCTGGCTGAGATTACAAAATATAAATTGGCTTAATCGCACTTCCGCAAATGCAAGAACAAAATTTAGAAGTTTTTTAAAACTTAAACCAATATCTGAACATCACCTAACGAAGTAAAAAAATATTTGTTTTAAAGTATAAAAAATTAGAGAGTAAAAATATTTTCTTAAATCATGGCCAACTGCTTACTTAGATTTTTCCCTCTAATTTTAAATCCAATGTGGTAGTGTTAAAATTATCAGTAAAAATAATTGTTCTTGATTCGATAATTAAATTGATGATCATATATTAAAAAGTATTAGTCAAAGAGGGGTACTGATCTTATTTAACTATTGATTAGCTCTATGTGATTGAAATACAAATAGAAGATAAAAATTAATGCGATATTTACGTTTATAATCATTGAATAATGAAAGGACTTATAGTTTGTTTCCACTGCTTACTTAGTAAATGTAAGTAATTTACTAAGTAAATTGCATTAACAAAACAAAAAGCTTCCATGCTTTTTAACTTACTTAAAAATAAAGTAAGGAAAATAAGACCAAAATGTAGAATGCAACTCTTAAAATAAATTTCCCACAAAGGAAATTAGCAAAATTGAAAATATTTGTCATATGTTATATGTTATATGTAAAATGTAAACAAACAATAGCTTAGCTATAAGCAAACATACTTGGAAAGTAAGTATTTTATAGAATATTGATTTTCATTAATTAAATTTATAACAGATTTATGTATATATATATAAATGATTTACTACATTAATTATAAACTTAAATTTTTGTGTGATATATTATTGAGAGAAATTTTTCGAACCAAAGCTCTTTTAAGACTTTCAAAGAACTTTTATATTATACACAATATGTAACTTATGATAAAGGAAACGATTAAATGTCAATCAACCTACTTAGTAACTTGCTAAGTTAGCAGTGGAAACATGGTGTTAAAGATATACATTTTATGAACTGTAAATTTTAATAAGAGTAATATATTGAACTGCTTTTCAACGACGACGATTGTTATTATAGAGATCAACGAGTTTTTTTCGATAATTCCAAAATTATTTAAGGAAATGTGTGATAAATATTTGTCAATATAATATAGAGGTCTATTGTGTTGCATATTGTTCGAAGCGGTATATTAGTAGATTCTTAGTAGAAAATATATAATAATATGTTTGTTCACCATTTGAAAGGGATTGGAATGTAATTGATTAGGTGGAAATAGAAAGAACGACTGTGTATAAGTACATTCCTTTAAAAAAAAGCAATGTTCTGCATTGCTTATTAAAACGCACCACATAGGTATGTAGGAATCATCTAGAAAGTCATATCTTTTTCTATAAAACTCAAAACACAAATTAGTAAAAGATGCTATTAAAAAAATTTATCAGACGTTGAGAGTTTTCTACGCAAATGGATATAGAAATATACTTAAGTAAAAATTAAAATTTGCAACTTAATTTCAAAAATTCTGCAACTTATGACTGCTAAGTTTCTCAACGTTTTATTTCTCATTGATACGAAGCTAAAGTCCTTCACTCGATGTGCTGTTCGAGCTCTTTAAGTTATTCTGAGAAGAAAGCTGCGTGTTGCACCAAGTTTTAGATGTGTGAACTTAATCTTCTCCGCATTGTGATTTACTGCGAAGCAAGTTTTCCTGCCATTTCGAATTCCCTAGCCTGTAATAACACTATAGCTTACGATATTAACAACAGCAGTTCAAACAACGTCTTGAGAATAGAATAAAATAAATACAATAAATTGAGTATTCCCACTAAAATAATGAAATGCGTAACATGGTTCTCCAAGTTCAGTTTTCGCTGCGGTAAGGTACGGTTGAAACACATCATAAATAGGTGGATGCGTACACTGCTTTTTAGTTCAATAGCACACTCCACATATTCAATATCTTTTCTCTATATCCTTGAAAGAAATACAAGAACGATTGGTTTTTAATGATTTTTATTAGGGTTATTTATAGTGGGATTATTATTGTTTATTAAAAAAATAAAAAACACTTAAATTTGTTGAACAAATATTAAATAAGGAGCTGACGACAAAAAAGTGTAAAAATGATACATAAATATAGTTTCAGTATTCAACTCAACATTTTTTTAATATATATACCAACTTAGGTTCCAAGATTAGATTTTTTGCACAAGAACGAAATAAACTCATGCAATAAATAATGCCTTTACAAAAAAGGAGTAGTAAAATTTAAAAATTAAAAAACTAAACTAAAATTAATTAATTCAACAACTGGTTTATGATTTTATTCTAATATAACACAGCAAGTGAATTTGTTGATGAAAATTCACAGCAAATTATTAGATAAACTCCAAGTTCAAACACACAAGTCAACTACGGCTTGGGGTTAGTTAACAGGGCACAAGTTCAGTCTTAATACTTCTGTCTCAAAGAATTATTTACGAATAATTTAATATAGGAAATAATTTCCAAGACCACTGATAATGGGTATTTGGCAATATTCGAAACAACTGTATGGTCAGCCAAAAATTCAATTAATCAAAATTATATGAAAAGAATTTATGTTGTTGTAGTTCACTACTTTTCGAAACCTCTCTATATATAACAACTTTATATTTTTAGAAAACTTAACTTTGTAATGGGGTAAGCCTCCCTTGTTCAATATGATCTCGTAGATAATATTGGGAAGTGAATCAAACAATATTTTATGTAGTCAAGTGAAATTTTAGCTCACGCGCTCTGAAAGGCTTTATTTAGTTCAATTTTGGTTGAAAATTGTTCGTCAGAAACATAAACTTTTGTGGCCAGCCGTTCCGAAACATTTTCTATTATATTGAGATCCGGTGAATATGGTGTCTAGTTCAGAATAGCAACATTTCAAGACTCAATGTAGAATTTTACAACACGGGCAGTGTGCATTGTGGCATTGTCGTATTGGAAAGTCCAGGTCAAGTGATTAAAAAAATTTTCCAAAAAAAGCCTTTTCTAAAACTTCTTGGTATGATTTGCATTAATATTTGAGTTTAAGAATTGGAGTTCGCACGTACCATAGTAAGTAAGTTGAAAATTATTCAACTGCTGAGTCTTAGTCTTCAAATCAGTGAAATAATAGTTGTAACCATTTGGTTCTTCCAATTAAACTTTTTCTCATATGAGAAAATATCGTGGTACCACACCTTGACCAATCACATATTGACACAACAAAAATCAATCGAGCTTCTTTACCTATAGAGTTAACTGGTGATTTGTTTTTTAATTTCAATCGTTTAAGGTGTTTGCCTTTCGAAGGAGCACGCCATACCGTGGATTTGTTCGCTTTAACACCAGCTTTTGACCGGATTTTGTCAACCGAATCATGCGAATTTCAAGTTTGCTGCAAAATCGCTCGCTTATCTATATCGCTAAGAATGCTAATAACGAGGCCTTTCGTATTTTTTTTTTTTTTAATTGGGATCATTTTGAATAAAACTATACATAACTTTTCTCCTTCTTCCAATTTGTGTTGATATTTCGGTCACAGAAAGGTCACAATCAATATAGTTTCTTAGTTGGACCTGTTCTCTATTTCATAATGCTTGGCCGCTTAAATGAAACTGAAATCAAGATGTGCTATTCGAGTGAAACGCAGTGTATATGTATACACCTATGTATTTGATATTATCATGATTTTACAAGTACCTATGTTGTATATATAAACAAATCTTTTAATCAGACTTATCAGTTTTGTTCAAATAACTTGTCTTATCTTGCTTATATATGATTTTCTTATAATAATGTGAAGCAAAACGTTTTCTCTTTATATACACATATTCCAATAACATTATAAATATTCTATACTACCATTAATCTGTTCAATAAAAAATAAATGAATAGCAACATTTAGTTGACCAGCGTTTCGATCTTATAATATAATATAGATTATAGTGAGTATATGTGTACCAGACAGAAATGACTGGAAAAGGAATATACCTTCATTCGCTGAAGACTACCATTTGTGGTACACGGATGGCTCCAAAACGATAAAGGAGTGGGGGTGGGAGTATATGGGATCAAAAAAAAAAGAGGAAATATTTGCAAGAATAAGTCAAGAAAACTTAGTTTTTTAGGCCGAAGTACACGCAATTGAACTATGTCTAAGGGAATATAAAAGGAAGCCCTTCATGGGGAAAAACATATATATTTTCTTTGGCCAGTAAATAAGCACTCCTAGCACACCTCGAGTGACCTCAAAACTATTGTGAGAATGCCTTCAACTTCTGAAAGACCTTGCTGAAAGCAACAGGCTTCACATAATATAGATCACAAGGCACAGCGAACTTGAGGGAAAGGGGAAAGCCGATACATTCTGTGGTCCTTCATGGAGCTTTTTCAAATTTAAAATTAATGAGTGGCTCGAAAGAACAGCTCAGACTGATTGGGATAATATAATTGTCTGCAGGCAAGCTAAAGAATCCATACTGAATCGATCAAAACCCAAAACTAGGGTGCTGATAATGCTGAACGGAAATGACATCCGACTAGTCACAGGCTTTCTCACTGGGCATTGCGGAATAAAAAAGCATCTATCGAACCTAGGCATTACTAGAGGCGATAGCTGCAGATTTTGTGACGTAGAAGAGGAAACAACAGAACGCGTTCTATGTCACTGTTGTAGTCTCGGCAGACTCAGACTTCGGTACTTATCAAATGCCTATCCACTTATAAACGAAATTGGGCAACATCTCTCCAAATGTTGCCAAATGTTCTTTTAGACGAAACCAACTTCTTATTAATAGAATTGGGGCGGGTTTAAAGGTGAAATGCATATGATGTGTTACATTTCTCCATTTAATCTACTACGGCGGCCATGTTAAGATCATGGAAAAGAGTTTTATTGGGAGCGTATGTTACCTTAAAATATATGGCAGAATTTTTTAGTATAGCCATATCTTTCAAGGTTTGTATATTGAGGTATTCTACACTTTTTGTTAAGAGGTTTCAAGCACTGGTAAATATCTTAGTTGTTGCGACTTTCTTTAAAATTGGCCCAGAATAATGGTGTGACTTTTTTATAAAATATTTCTTTTTTATTTTTAATATTAATTGCTTAAAATCCTAATATTTTAATTTCAGATTTTATATTTTTA